AAAGGAAGTAAAAAGCTATAAAATGTCAAGAACTAACTCAAAATAATGGGTGAATAACATGATAAATCATGTGTAAAAATGAACCGAACATTTTCTTGTCTTAATTTGTTTTTTTTTTTTTGTTAACATTATAAAATTAATTTTGTATGTTTATTTTATTTTTCCAAACAAATAGACCTAAAAATATTTAAGAGTTATTTACACTAACACCCCTTGAGGTTTTCAGTTTTTTCACAAAACTCCTTGAGATTTTAGAAATTACACGAACACCACTTGAGGTTCTAAATTGTTTTCACAAAATTCATTTTCATTGATTTTTCATCCACAAAGATTGATGATTTTATACACAAAAAAATTATCCAAATGACAAAGTTGGCCTTTGAGATTAGATTGCATATACTTCATTGAGGGTAATTTTTTCATTTGCATAATTTGTTTTCAGTGAAATCATCAATTTTTGGACACACAACACAAACTTGGACAAAATATGAACCCGGAAAAAAAAATTTGCAAAATCTGAAACAAAAGTTGAACATGAAAATAAAGAAATGAAAAAAATTTCCTCTTGTAAACAATAAAAGCTACATGCCAATCAACTACAAAGAAATATAAATGTAAAGGGTATAGCCGCGCGGCTATACTGTTTTTAAAATAAAAAAATACTGAGTATTGCCGAGCGGATATATATATAAATAAATAAATAAATAAAAGGACCCCAGTAACGCAGCCCGGCTATACTATCTATAAACAAATAAAAGAGGACCACAGTATCGCCGCGCGGCTATATGTTTTTAAAAAAAATCCCGAGTATAGCCGCTCGGCTATACTATTTATATTTAAAAAGAAGTACACGCCTAGCGTCCAGCTAGCGACTCCGAGTCTACGCGTCAAAAACAGTCGCTCTGGCGATATTATTTTTATATATAAAAACCTAGTATAGCCGCCCGGCTGTACTCTTTAAGTATGATATTTTAAAAAGGAGTATAGCCGAGCGGCGATACCGGCTATACCAGAAATATAATTTTTTTAATACAAAAATAGGACCTTTCCAGTTGCATTAGTTTATACTTTATAGATATTAATTTGCTTGTTTCGATATAGATACTTTATAGATTTAAATTTTTTAATATATATTATTTTTATTCAATAATATGCAAAAATTATGTGCATAATACGTGAATGTTGTGTGTATTATTGGAAATTTTGTAAAAACCCATGTGTATTAAACATGAAAAATACGTACGTATGTGTACAATACAAGCCAAGCTTCTAAACAATCTCTTCTTTCTACATTTATTTAATCAACGAGCTAAGCAAAATATTCTGAGGAGCACTCTGCAGGTGTGATGCTACAATCTCTTCAAAGTTCCATTGCCCATGGTGCTGCCAAATATGTCGATGGCAACACATTTTGCTCCTCTTTATTCACAGAAATTGTAACACAAATTTTGTACCATATGAAATTGACTGATGCAGATGCTTACTATTAGCTATGGCACAAGAGAGTATTTGTTTGCAAAGTAGTATTAAAAAGTTCTCTTCATTTACCACTTTGAATTATCTATATATACCAAGGGCTAATTCGGCACGACCTTGACCTCTACTATTGAACTGACCCAATTTTCTACAAGAAAATTATCATATGAGTACGTCACAGGAAGACACATCTCCATATTCTTCCTTTTCTCCCTCTATTGTTTCCTCCATTTTCTTCACAACATTGTGATCAACGGTCTTCCAAGAGAATTCTACAGAACGTCTTACAAGACAATAGTGATTATTGTCCCGTTTGCGGCGCGGGAATTTCAAGGTGAACCAAATTTCTGGGGTTAATTTCGCATTATAAACTTGACTAAAACTACTATACGTTAAAAATGTACAAATAAACAACATTAAAATACTATATATTAGCTGGATTTTTCATCTTATTCTTTAAAAATAAAGACAACTTAATATAAGACTGTCCTTCAATAAAGACAACTTTCAAATTTTAACAATTTAATGGTATGTTGTTATTGGCTCCAGTTTGCTGTGTTTTTCTCTCCTAGCATGTTTGCTGCGATTTGAGCTTGTTACTATTATAATTTGAGAAAAAACACACCTCATCTATTTTTTTCCTTTAACATGATGTTTTGTATAGCATCTGTCGGAGATGCTCTAAATGATGAAAGCTACACAACAATCAAGTAATTTCCAAGAAAAAAAAAATTATGAATAAAACAAGTAAAGGATTAAACGCGTTCAGAGTCAACCAGGTCTAAGTCCGAAAATGTTGATGTAAATTAGAAGATGAAGAAGTATTGTGCAGTTTATGCTGCATTTTAGATGACAAATATTTCTCCCAACAACAAAAATGGTTGCCAATTATAACTCCGCCATCCCCAGACTCCACCCACAAAAGCTTGATCACTTCCTTCTTCTTCTCCTTCTCTTAACCCCTTGTGTAACTCCTTTAACCTTCCATTTCCCCACCTTCAAACAAAGTGACAGTGGATTATTATTTACCGAGGGAGATGCTGTTATCAGCAACCAATTTATTCACATGACCAAAGAAAACCTGCATGCTGAATCAAGGAGTGTGGGTCGAGCAACGTACCGTGAACCCTTCCTCCTCCGAGAAAATGCCACCGGCAAACTCGCCGATTTCACCACAAGTTTCGCATTCATCATTGATGGGAAAAACAGAACCTCCTACGGGGAGGGCCTCGCTTTTTTCTTAGCCCCAAACGGTTCCTTACTAAACCGAGCACTAGGAAAAGGTAGCAGTCTCGGCCTCCCTGTCAACAGCTCGCTGGAGAACGTTATTGAGCCGAGCAATGACTACCCTTTTGTGGCGGTGGAGTTTGATACCTATCGGAATTCATGGCCAACCGTGAAGGATCCGGATGGCGATCATATAGGTATTGA